TGTGATCCCAGCACTTTGGGAGGCAGAGGTGAGAGGATTGCTTGAGCCTAGGGGTTCGAGACAAGCCTGGGCAACTTGGCGAGAACTGAACTCTACAATTAAAAAAAGAAAAAATTAGCCAGGCATGGTGGTGCATGCCTGTAGTTCCAGTTACTTGGAAGTCTGAGGTGGAAGATCACCTGAGTCCAGTAGGTCCAGGCTGCAGTGGCCGTGAGTGCACTACTGCACTCCAGTCTGGGCTACAGTGAGACTCTGACTCAAAAAGAAACAAGAAAGGATTGACAAAAGGTACTCAAATATGCATGTTCATAATAGCCCAAAGGTGAAAAAACCCCAAATATCTACGGGTTGGATGAGGGGGTAAACAGAATGTGGTATATCCATATAGTGGAATATCATTCAACCATAAAAAAGAAATGAAGTACTGATACATGGTATAATGCACGTAAACTGGAAAACATCATGCTAAGTGAAGGAAGCCAGTTATGAAAGGTCAAAGATTGTATGATTCCACTATTGAGAAAGATCTTCAATAAGTGAATCCATAGAAAAAGCAGATTGCTAGTGATCAGAGGCTAGAGAGAGAAGAGAATGGGGAGTAACTGCTAAATAGATTTTCCTTTGGGTTGGTGAAAGTGTTTTGGAAGTAAAGGTTTCATGACACTGTGAATTCACTGAATGCCACTGAATTGTTCACTATAAAATAATTAATTTTATGTTTAATGAATTGCATCTCATTAAAAAACACACACACATCCAAAAATAGGAACATTGTGGTTGAGAAGGCAGACGTGGTCATGCTTCTCCTTTTCCACTCACCAAAGACTCTTAAGAAAGTCACTAGTGGGCCATTGCCTTGCTAGACTCTGGTGTGGCCATGTGCTCTTTGAGCTATGGCTGTCACCATGCTTCTTGGCTTTGGCCCTCTTCCCCACCTTGGGGAGGTGAATCTTCTCTCTCCCTTCTCTTTACCTCTCTAATTTACTTTTAAATAAACTATAATTTTTTAATCTAACTTCTGTGCAATTCTTTGCATCTTCCATGCGGCATCGGATCATATCCTAGACGGCCACATGTTGTAAGTGATCTCTTTTTAAATAAATCTTTTCTTTCTTCAAAAAAAAGCAAGTCGGCCGGGCTCGGTGGCTCAGCCTATAATCCCAGTGCTTTGGGAGGCCGAGGTGAGCGAATTGCCTGAGCCCGCGGGTTCGAGAACCGCCTGGGCAACTTGGCGAGACCTCATCTCTACAATAAATCAAAAAATCAGCCGGACGTTGTAGCGCGCACCTGTAGTTCCAGCTACATGGAAGGCTGAAGCGGAAGGATCGTCAGAGCCCAGCAGGTCGAGGCTGCGGTGGCCGGGAGCGGCCACTGCACTCCAGTCTGAGTGACAGAGTGAGACTCCAACTCAAAAAATAAATAAATAAAATAAATAAATAAATAAAATAAAACAAAAATAAATAAATAAAATAAAACAAAAAAAGAAAGTCACTCATGTTCAGCCCTCCCTGAGCCTTGGTTTCCTCATCTGTATGAAGATGAAGCTGGACTGGGTGACCACTGAGATCCCTTCCAGTTCAAATTCCAAGAAATTCAACATCCTTCTTTCTCCCCCTGTCCTCTACATGCTTGAAAATGGCTGCTTCTGTACTGCAGATGCACACGGGAAGACAATGTTGTAATTAAATTACAGGGAAGTTAATTTTAGTTATTATGGAAAGGTATTTTAATAGTCATTATTATAATGACACAAATTAATGAACAAAACACTAAAACAAAAGCATTTTAACAATTAGCTTGGATTTTTCTTCTCTGATGCTCAGCCTCAGAGCCTGTGCCCAGCTCCGGCCTGTCTGTGTCCCTGCGTGTAATCACACACTCTGGTGTTTGCCAGTCACAGTATCTCCAGCTCGTCTGCCAAGTGCAGTGCTGGCAGTCCTGAGTTGATTGGGAGGTCCTTGATTGATTAATAAGTACCCTTGCCAAGCGAGAATGGTGCCAAGGGATTGGATTCCTCTCTAAAGTGCTCATGCTTTGTAACCAAAGTAACCTAGAACAGTCTAAGGTCATCAAACAGTCACTAGTTATAACTGGACTAGATACAATCTTACTCTGAAGTTATTGAAATGTTGTTTGGATAGTAAGCCGCATTTACTCAATTCTGGGATTTAATTTTTTGATTCTGACTGTCTTCTGGGACATCTACTTCTGAGGTTTTGAGAGGTGGTGATCAGTAAAATACAGTCCCCAAAGCTGCAGAACCCACATGTGACTGCCTACCACACTGAGGTTGCCTCAGACCAGGCTCCCTTTGGTCACCTCCTTATCCACAGTACCCCTGGAGGAGATCACTGGAGGGGCTAAAGTGGTTCCTGCTGTGCTGGGTTCAAACAAAAGTGAGGAGAAGGGCCTTTCTCCTGTTTTGGTATTTCACTCCTTGAGGCAAATAAGCAGTCCTTAGCATTCAGTTTACCCCGGACTCAAATATCCACCGTGGCTGGATAGGGAGACAAATGACCTGCAGAACTCCTGCATGCCCCCTCTTCTGGCCTCGGAAGGTTTGTGCTGGGCCAGGCTAACTTGCCTGACTCTCTCTTCCAGTGAATTCTCTTTGGGGAAGTTCCCCAGTCCCTCTTGCAAATAGACCTTTCCAGACAAATCCAGACATGCTGAATCTCATGTGGAGAATGTCATGACCCAGAGTCAGACATGGAGTTCCCAGTAACTATTTATTAGGCACCTACTGTGTGCTGAGCGTTGGAATTCCAAGGACAGTGGACTCTTGTCATCATGGAGTTGCCACAGAAATTTAAACAATAGCTTCGTGAGTGATGGCTAATTCAAGCTTTTACCCTAGGGAGGAGCACCTCCTGCTGAAAAGTCATACCAAAAGTGACAGCTAATCACTGACTTGGCAGAGAACCTCTCTCAATATAATTGGAGGTTTCACCCACGTTTCTTAAGCACTCCACCACTGATTGCTCCTGCTGAAAATCCCTCGGGTTCTAACTCCACCAGTGCATCCTACAGCACCTCTCCATCCTGCAGCAGCACCCAGTCGGCTTCTACTCTTTGTGTTCACCTGGCCTTCATACTTCTTTTCCCTCAGAAGCAGAGAGGAGAGGGCTATTGGAAGGAGAATAAAAGAAAAAAGCGGTAGGGGATTGTGTACAAGATAAACGATATCTAAAAAGTCTGTCCATTTTTTGGTTAAATGAAGTACCTGAGCCCACACTAATGTGAAATTAAAAATATGGCAATGGCTTTGCGTTCAGTTGATCAATCTTATTCTAATCTCTGGTGTTTGGTAGGAAAAGGAATTAAAAAAATCTATAAAGTAAGCCAACTTCTCTGTGGATAACTAAAAAGTCTTCTAAGTGATGTCCATCCCTCCTGGGGAAGCACAAGAGAATAGTGAGAGGAGAGACCTAGAAGACAGGGTATTATTATTATTATTATTATTTAAGTTGGAGTCCCCCTCTGTCGCCCAGGATGGGGTGCAGAGGCACGCTCACGGCCACTACAGCCTCGACCTGCTGCGCTCAGGTGATCCTTCCACCTCAGCCTTCCAAGTAGCTGGAACTACAGGCACTCACCACCACACCCGGCTAATTTTTTTTTATTGTAGAGATGAGTTCTCACCAAGTTGCCCAGGCTGGTCTGGAACCCGTGGGCTCAGGCAATCCTCAATCCTCTCACCTCGGCCTTCCAAAGTGCTGGGATTATAGGCGTGAGCCACCGCGCCCAGCACCTCTAACTGTTTCAGAAGCTCATGATTATTTTGGAAAGTAGAATTTCAGAATATCATGTTTTAATAAGCTAAAAGACAAGTAGACGAAAAAAACATCAAGCAAAGCAAAACAGTGTTTGCAGAGTTTAGTTAGACATGACTCAGCATTTCTTCCCCTCTTCCTACCCCTCCCC